GCATTTAATAATTTTGTCTAATAATGAACTAATGTAAAAACTAAAAAATTCCAAATTTCTTTTTAGGCACACATACACTGATTATCTAAAACTGAGAATTAAAAAAAAAATACCAAAAGGAGCTCAAAAAAGGATAAGTGTGCTGACTGTTAAGTAGTGAGTAAATATCAAGATAAAACTGTAAGGAAAATACTCTTTCTTTTCTTTACATTAGGCCCTTCAAAGTATGCTTGATATTCAAAGTGGTATTAGTGTGACATTAGAGAAGCGGGAAGATAGATATTTTTCCTGCTCAGTAGTATGCACTCCATGTAGTATGTACAGTATTTTGTATACTCTTTTTAAAACCAAACTGTGTCTAAAATGTTAATATGATCAGCCATATGCAGATAATATAACTAATAGCAAAGGTTAATGGCTCTAAAATGCCACGTGAACTCACTGCATGTGATCTTCATGGCTAAAGGGGAAAACAAAGGGAATAAACGTGAGGATGGAATGTGTTCTCATGCGTGACACTCTGAGGAATACACCGAGACTGTAGAATTGAGAAAGCCACTGTCAAATTACCTGTAATATCATCTGAACTGTTGATACTGTATGTCAGCTTTTGTTGTTAGAAAACAATTCCAAACACTGTGTTTTGTTAGAAATGAAGGAATTTTTGATATTTTGATTATTAATTGCATGATCTTTAGGCTCAAACAGATCATATAATTGTCCTCTTTGTTGTTTATTTTTTTTCCAGTGAAATAAATGTAGGTGTTACATTCCGTAGAGAAATAGCAATTCTGTTAGCACTCGTGGGCTTTGTTAAGGCAGTGGTACTGTAGTTAGGATTGAGAATGCCACCAAAGAGAACAAACTGAAACAAGAGAGGATGCATGGAATATGCTTTTTCTGCCTATCTATATCTACTTTTGTAAGTTTGAAGTTCGTGTATGTATGTGTGTGTTTTCCCCTTCAAACCAAGAGCTCTAATAAAATACTTGCTTATCACCAGGAATACACACATCTCTTCACATGCAAATTTTAGAGGCCAATATTGCTAAGCATAATTAGCTTAAGAAGATATAGTTTTAATTTTGCTCATAGAAATAAAGATTAAAGAACCACATATGCCATAGAGCATACGCCAGCTTATAGACTTAGAAGCTAGTTTGGATGACTGTTTCAATAGAATATGCAGATGAATCACCATTAACAGCAGCTGTAGGAACAAAATGGACTACAGAGCTGGCTTTACACGTGAGATTACTTCTTTTGGCTTTCAGTATTTGCTCTGTCTAAAGTCAGGAAGGGAGCACTTTCTTATGCCATTTATAAAGTATAAGTAAGGAATTTTCTTAGTCAGTTAAAGGCTCTGAATATATACACTGATTCCTACTTTTATATAGAGAATTTAAAAGCTTCATGAGATAAAAAGAAAATATTGTGATATACTTTAACTTGTTTATTGCTCAAATGCATTTTAGTTTACCTCAGTGCCTTAGAATTTCCTCCTTGAATGAACCACAGCGTTAAAAGCAGCCCTTGGTGCTGTTATTGACTTTTCTTATAAATTTTGTATTGGTGAATTGCTAAACCATGCAGTTGTAAAGGTGGCTGAATACTTGACCACAGACATTTTGTTATCTAATAAAGCTAGTTGGCTGATAACTAATTGCAATTCAAGTCTTTTATAATGATTTAAATTTGGGGGCAGTAAACTATTATTTGGTGGCAGTAAACTGGGGGCAGATGTTATTACTGAGTTTTAGACCTAAACAGATATCACTTGCCAAGCCTTTCATGGTCTGTATGGAGAAACCAGCAGAAAGCAGCCTAACTAACCAGTGGCCTGCCTATGACTTCATCCAGGTTCCAGAGCCAAAACCAGAGCCTTGCCTTTTCTGATGCTCAATAGAAAATATGCACTTCTTTAAGTTCCTCAAAATCATGCACAAGCTACATAAACTAGAAATTCTACATTCCATTTGAAAAAGTAAAATCATAAAGTTAGCATAAATTTGATTTAAAATAAAAATAGCAAAAAATGAATTAGATGTGACTAGTTGGTATTGTTACAATTTGTTCATTCACTTTTGTATCCTGAGGAGAAATCTCACAACTGACTCAGATGGCTCAGAACATTTTTCTGTTAAGTTATGAAGAACATTTTAACTGATTTTCATTCAGATTAGCATCAGGTAGGCATGGTGACACATGCCTTTGATCCTAGCACTTTGGAGGCAGAAGAACACAGACTTCTGTGAATTGGAAGCCAAGCTGGTATACAAAGCAAGGTCTAGGACAGCCACGGCTATGTAAAGAGACCCTGTCTCAGAAAAACAAAGCAAAGAACAACAAAAGTTTGCCAAATTGTGTCTTTATTGATTTGTTTATAACATTTAAAATAGCTATTGAGATACCTAAATAATTGAAATTCTAAAGAATTTTAGTGAAAGATTAAGAGAAGGCTCCTCAATGTATCTGTTACTGACCAACAAAGGAGTGACAGGGGAATTCATGAAACCTGCAGTCTGGCTAAGGCTGTAGCTTGGTAGTAAAGTTTTGCCCAATTCTGCAAAATAGATCTTACCTCCTTCTTCCCCTAGACCCAGTGGATCACCTGTACTAACAAGGGTATGGGTCATTCTTGTGCATGCTGAGGCTCTAATGCACGTACTTAGAAAGTTAGAAATGGCAAACCTGGTCCTTTTGTTTTTGTGGCTTTTTCTTCCTCACAATTTGCTTCTCTTTACCCTGGGGAAAAAAGAAAGGAACATAAAAATACCAGTCTGGGTTTGGAACAGTAACTTAGTGGAAGGGCACAGCCTAGCATGAGTCAGACTATTTGTTTTATCCCCAATGCCACAAAAACAAATAAGCAAAAGCATCATCTATTTTCACAGGCAAAGCGAACAACACAAAGAACTAAGTACGGAAGAGAGGAAAGGTAATACATATCCTTCTGGTACCAGCAGCCAGACTTGCTGGTGGTCTGTCTTTGGAATATTCTTTAGTATTAAGCACATCTAACACTTTGCTTTTCTAGGTCTTCCCTAGTCTGCTTTTCTAGGTCTTCCCTAGTTATTTGGTCCATTCTGGCTGCCCAAACTGGGATTGCGTAACTGCATTGAGGAGCATAGGAGTTAATTATACAGTGTTAGATTTACGGAGGGCTAGCGGCCACAAAACATCCCAAGGGGACTGCCTGTTCCAGTTTAGGACAGATGCAGCAAGAGTTTCTTGTTGGCCACAGACCCTGGGAACCACTGTGAATAACAGCCATTGTGGCCAAAAGGCAAAGTCAAATGCTACGCCTTCACCTCTACATGCAAACATGCCCCAGTATACGTGATAATGAGCTCAAGTTGAGAGCTGAAACTTCCCTACCTCTGTACTCATCTGTGACTAGCCTCCAGAGCAGTTGTACTGCCTAAGCTCTTCATGGAAGACAGAAAAGACAGCACATACTTCACAATCTAAGTGAGAGATATATAAGCAGGAAGCACTTAGCAGAGTAACTGAAAACAGCAGGGTTCAAGGCTTTTACTTTTGTATGTGTATTTATTCTTTCTTATTTTTATTTTCTTATTCACATCAGTTTTCTTTTGCACGATGGAATGATTTGGGGTTTTCCCTATCTGTTGGCATGACTGATGAAAACTGACTGGGGCTGAAGTATGGTTATTGATTGACTCCCTCTGGGATAAGGACATCCACAGCTAGCATGGTGGTGGTGGAGGTGGAGGAGGTGGAGGTGGTGGAGGTGGAGGAGGTGGTGGAGGAGGTGGAGGTGGAGGAGGTGGAGGTGGTGGTGGAGGTGGTGGAGGTGGTGGAGGTGGTGGTGATGGTGGTGGAGGTGGTGGAGGTGGTGGAGGTGGTGGTGGAGGTGAGGTGGTGGAGGTAGTGGAGGTGGTGGAGGTGGTGGTGGAGGTGGTGGTGGAGGAGGTGGAGGTGGTGAAGGTGGTGGTGGTGGAGGTGGAGGTGGTGGAGGTGGTGGAGGGGTAGAATCCTCCAAGCATCAGATCCTGACATGAAGATGCTACAATATGTTATTACACAGAAGCAGAACCCAATAAATGATTCTGAAGCAGAACATGCATGTGTTGAAATGATACCAGATGAATTAGTTTTTAGGTCTGTTGACGTGAAGCTACCAGTAGTGATCTCTAGACACTTTCATCTTCTTCCTGTGTATTCTGCAAAATAGGAAGAAAAAAACAGCTTAATAAACTTAAAAATCTGTTCAACATTTAACTTCTTTTTTAGGCATAGAGTACTTACTTAAATATTGAGTAAGCATGGAATAGGCGGGGCTGGGGGGGGGGGGTCCTGTGAAAAAGTAGTGACAGAAAATTTTAGATAGCCAAAGCTGGAACCTTACCTGGGTTTGTGAGTATGGAGTTCCCCCAACCAGGAAGAAGCTGTGACAGGTGCATATCAGTGTTGTGGAATACGTATTTTAATTATTTCAAAAAGAATCAGGCATTTTAGAAAATAGAAGTTTATAAACATTCAGCCAAAGGTGCCAATCCCTTGTTACAGTGAACTATCACAGCTTGACAGTGTCCATCTTGAAGAAAACACGATGTGGGAAAGACAAGTTTGAAATGGCAATGTAATAAGTAATGCCTAGTTCCTTGCTGTCTGCCCCCTCTGGTCCCTGCTGACCTCCATGAGTTCTTAAAAGATTTAGAAACATGCCTGTGCTTGCAGCCTGGGCCAACAGGTGATAGACAATCACACTAGCACCTTGAAGGAAGGAGAAGGCCACCAGCCCAGGCTGCACCAGCAGGCTTAGAGATAGAAGGTGGTTTCTAAGGAGTGTTCCAAGAAGTAAACAAGCACGTCCATGTGTTACACAGTGGAAGGACTCCTGCCCTCGGTAGTGGTCATCAAGGATCACTTTGGACCTGGCTCATCCTTCCATCCTGGCATTTCTTCAGACGTTGGCTCACCATCTCTGACCCCACAGCCAACCTGATTTTCTTTTTTTCTGCTTTTCTTCACAGTGCTCATGTGTCCCAAGTCAGCAATGTTTCAACAACTGGAGAGTAAGTCATTTGTTTTTTATATTTTTGAGCATTTTATGTCTTTTAACATGTATTAGTAAAAAGAAGCAATTCTAATGTGTAGAATTGGAAGATTAATATAATGAACAGCCAGTAATTTTTAAGGTATGCATGTCTAGAAAGTAGCTATATGTGTGATTATCCACAATCTCCCTTCCCCATTTGAAACTACCAAGTAGGTTCTTTCTTAGTCTCACTATGTAGAGTAGGGTAGCCTTAGTTTACTCTGTAACGCAGGCTGGCCTTTAACTCACAATCCTCCTGCCCATGCCCCAGTGCTAGGATTACAGGTGTGTGTGCCACTCTGCCTGGCACTATTAGCTTTTTGTTTACTTCAGTAAAAACAATGCCAGGTTCAGTTAAATGTTTGCAAAGCCGTCTCTTTGCAAAGATGCCTCTCTGTTCCCTGGAGGCATCTTGTCATGGAAAATGTAAGTAAAGGCTAAAGCATTAATGATGACTTTTCTTCCCACTTTGTTCATTTATTGAGATTACATTTATTGAGTGCCTACAATGTGCCATCCAGTGTTAAGTGTGTGATATCGAATGACTTTGGCTCTGCCTTTGTGGATTTTTGCAGTCCTTTGTTGTTGTTGTTGTTGTTGTAGGGATGCAGAAAAGAAAGCAAAGTGCTGGTAGCACCAAGTCCCTTTCTCAGCACAGCCGTGGCAGTGCTGGATTACTTATGTCTGGCACATTCTTTGTTCCTCAGAGGCTTCCAGCTACATGTAGGCTAAGCACAGCTCTGCCTTTTGCCCTGCCCTGGGCTGGCCTTTCTGCACTTGCTTGCCTTTCTGACCACATTGCTCTTTCGTTCTTTGGTCACTTGACTTTCTGTTGCTGAGCTAGTCCTTGGCTGTGTCCTGCCCAGCCAGCACTTTCATGTTTTGATTCATCCCTTCTAGGAATCTCTTTCTGACCCACTATCAGACAGCACACTGCCACACTGTTCCCTCTGTCCTGCCCTGTAGAAATGCAAGCTCTGTTGACACAGGATCTCCTCTGCTGTGTTTAAGGCAGAAGTATACCTAGGGCCTGGATATTCTTTACATCATTAGATAAATGGTCTCTGGGTAATAATCAAGTGTTAGGGTTGGAGAAGATGTGGTACGGAGCTAAAAAACAAGAAAGAGGAGGAGCACTGATAGGACAGCATTGGACTCTTAAATGATGGACTTGGATTTTCCCATTAGTTGAGGAAGCAAACAAGGGCAGAACTAGCTTTCCTTGGCTTCATCAACTTCAAAGACTTGCGAACTAAACCAAGATGGACATGTTCTTGCCTTGTTGTGCCTGATAATTTTTCCTCCCATAGTAAGGGTAGGGGAGGAAGGGTTATGGTATTTCCCATTGTAAGATGCCCTGTATGTGATGCTAATATATTTACTTTCTCTGCAACAGTTACTCACTGGGGACACAGAAAACAAAAGTTGCAGCAACCACCTTAAGTAGGCTATATTTGCCCCATGTCTGAAAATAATTTTAATAAATAATAAATTAATAAAAATTTAGTAAAACTGTGACTTGTCAATTTTAAGATGATGCTCGTAAAGACTATTTGGTGAAACTAGGGCTGCTAGTTGTATAAGACTGTGAGTTTGAGTTTAGGCTATGTAGCAAGACGCTGTCTCAAAATAAAACAAGCAGAAACTTTCTTATTTAAAGAAAGGTACCTTTTCCTAGGTATTAAAAACAACAACAACAAACCTGTGAATCTTTTTCAAGTGAAGAAAAATGTGTTTTGAGTAGTACAAATTAAGGATTTTCTATGCCATCTTACTCAGAATTAAACTGAATGGCAGTTGATTACTTAGATACACTGAAAGATTCTACCACTATAAAACTGGCACAATGTTTGTGAGAGTAAGAGCCATGTCGATGGGCAAAAGGATGCCATTTGTATCTCACCGTGCACTGCTTTCTCTTTGTGCTTATCTCTTTTCCTTAGGTTTAACAAAGTATGTCTGTCCTTCAAACGTGAATATGTTTTGTAATGTGTTTGTGTGAACCAAGTTTTAATTTTATAAATCCTGACTTGACTGGAAAAGTCAAAATATTATGCTATGGTATTATGAATTGTAAATGTTCTGGTGAACTGCCCCTACCCCCCAAAAACAGTATTAATCCCTATATAGCTTTATCTTAATGGGATTCTAAATATATAGTAGATATTCTAAAATATTTGTGCCAGTTTGCTTTGTAAATCAGACTCTCATCTTCTGCATGAAGATGGTATGAGATCTGGAGAAATCTTGCTTTATGGAGATATTTGATTGTCACTCTATAATGAAAACTTCTCTCTTGACTACCTCATAATTGTTGCTAGATTTGCTTTGAGCATTTCAATCATTGCAGACTCATAAAATGAGACAAATAAATTGGTATAATTTAACTCAATTTGATTTTAATGCAATATACACATATTTTAGATGAACATACCATTCTGTCTTTGCTCATGAAATACTAAAAGTCTTCCTGTGGAAAATAAAGATACTTCTGAAACTGGGCATATTTTAAAGGCAATCATGGATTAGCTTGATTGCTTCATTAACTTGGTGGTTTGTTTTTAACTAGACTCTTAGGAAGAACCATCAGATCAGCAGTAGAAGAACGTCTTTTTGATGTCAACAGCTCTGGAGATCAAAGTTCAGAGGACTTGGAAGCTGGACCATCATCAGCATCTTCTACACCCACCAGGCAGCAAGGGCTTCAGTTTAAAAAGGAGGAGGATGCTTGGCATGGTAGAGACAAGTAAGCTGTCATAGGCTCTTACTGCTTGAGACTTTGCTTTCAAGTAGTCCCTATGTGATAGGAGCACCTGCTGCTCTCGCTTCAGTATCTACATTAAAACTTCCCAAGTTTTCACTATGACCATTCTCAACTTAGGGTAATTCCTATGTGACTTAGTGTCTCCATTTCATCTAGATCTAGAGCTGTGGTATATTTTGGGAAGTCATGTCTTTATATCTTTCATAACTTCCTGTTAAATTCCTTAGAAACTAGAAAAACTGTAGTACCAGAAATGTTCATATTTGAAATCAGCCACTGATGGGTTTATATAAAGCATTTAGCAGCATAATTCATTTGCACTGTCTGTTTTACTATGCCAAAAGTGTAATTTATTCTTTAGCATAATTATTACCCTCTGCTTTGGCAGTTTAAAAGAATAGCTTCAATGTGTCACAGGAGCATGCTTTCCACCCACTCTCTTTGGACCGCAGAAGAGTTTGTGGCGTGGGAAGTGGTACCATAGCACGAAGAGAGCAGTGCAAGTGGAGGTGGTGGCAGGTGGCAGACAGGGGAGGTAAGGTCAACAATGACAGGGGCCAGACAAGGCTGAGAAATGTGAGGCACAGGCTAACATTGCCGTCAGAGAGAGCTTGAGAGGTTAGTTTCCCGAGTCCATGGGTATTTGTTGTATGTGTTGTCTAGATTGTATTCAACTAGCAACATCAGGAGAACCAAAAGAGATGGAGAATTGTAGATCCTGGTCAGCTGTAGCCCACCTGTGGGACTCTGATCTTAGTTTTTCATCATGCTCATTCTGGTCCCTTATCCTGAATATTTACATTCTCCCAGGGTACCACATATGGCTAACCGACAGAAGTTTTCACAGTACTCCTTTCTGGACACCTTCCTGGCCCTGTCCTTGTGCTGCTTGCTGGCATCAGTTGAGAGACATCTTCCTGTCTCATCTGACATTCTAAGCCAAAGTCTTGCTCTACAGGGCTTCTCCAACTTCCAGAACACACTAAATGTCTTCTTCGGGTTTTTGAGGAACAAGGTCACTTATCTTTTATGGTCCCAGAGCTATAATTTTTACCTCGCCCAATCTTGACCACAGTCTGTAGTCTATGCTGTCAACTCTCTATACTCTGGCTGCATCTCCTGACTCATTCACCCACGCTGTCCCTTTTCCCATTCTTCACCCATTTGGTTTGCATATTTTCTAGCTGCTTATTCTTCCAACACCTCTAGTACAATCTCAGAATTTTCTTTTCCCCTCCTCCTTCTTGCAATGACTTCAGGATGCTTGATCTTTCCTGATATCCCCAGTAGAGCCATTAATATTCTATTTCATTTTACAAATTGTGAGGACATCAAGGCTCATCATTATAGCATGTAGGAAGTTGTTTTATTCCTATAACTGATTAAATCAATTTAGCTAAGATTTTCATCACTTTTTAATTTTTTAAAATGAACAATTAATCTAAACCTTTTAATATTTTACCCCAAACCATTAGCTGCATGGGATAGTTGCAAAGGTTTTAAGGAAATCCATTTACTTTGTTATGGTACTTTGTATTTCACTACTCACAGCTGTGACAATTAAACAGTGAGAGTCTGACTGTAGGAGAAGTTTTACTGAGGCCAATGCAACTTTTTATATAAGTAACACTGTAGTTAGATAAAGACCATGAATCATTAATTTTGGTGCAAATAATTTGCTATTCATAAAATTTACAAGAAAAAAATTAAACTCAAATAATTGTTTGCTATAATAAAAGCATAAATTTGTATTTATTTAATATATAAAATGTTTCAGTCTAATTTGTTTGCTTAAGGAGTCTACTGGCTATAAGGTAAATAGTATATGCATGTTCATCTCTGTTTTATTATTTTTTAATAGTAAGGTATCATTTTTAAGTGAAAGTAGTTTAAACCTTCTAAAACACAATGACCTGGAAATGTAAATGTTTGTTATATAAATATTATTTAAAATCCTGCTGTAAAGTAAAATGGAAAGTACGCTCAAGATTATTAGAATATTACATATGCAGGAAGGACCAGACAGAAAACCAGGAAAAAGAAAGGAAACCCAGGAAAAGATCGAAATCATTGAAATAAAAGGCCCAGAGTTCTCAGTCCAGGGAAGGTTGAAATCATGTCAAATAGCAGTGCAGTGCAGTGTGTGTCTGGGAAAGGCAAAACCCTCTATGCGCCGTGGCTGACATGCACAGGTGACCCGCCTCTGGGGGCTGGTGCACACAGCACAGCTGTACTGTGCCTTGCTGCCTATCAGTTTCAACAGCTTACTCTGCCTAGTTGTTCATTGTTCCAAACTACTAAGAACAACAACAAAATCAGCATTTCCATTTGAGTTTTAAAATACTCTTCAGCTTCTGTATTAGTCTGCTTGGCTCCCATAACAAAGTAGATAGAAGACTGGTTGTTTTAAACAGCAGTGTTTATTTGTTCACAGATCTAGGGGATGACAGGGCCATGATCAAGGTGGAGGCAGGGCAGGTTTCAGACAAGATTATTGTCCTGGGCCTGCACCTGACAATCTTCTCACTGTCCTCTCGTGACCTTCCTTCTGTGAGAGCTTTCCGGATGTCTCTTACATGGACACCACTCACACTGGATGCCCTGCTGTAATGACCTCCCTTAGACTGGATTACTTCTGAGAGGCCTTTCGCTTTCAATGGGCATTTTAGGTATCGGAACATTGACACAGGAATAGAGAGGGAACACAGTCGAGTCGAATCAAGCATGTTAGGACCTCCAATAAAAATAATTGACACATAGTACCTTTGGGAAATATCATGGGAAGAAGAAGACAGAATTTGAGGATAGATTGTAAGTTTGGATTTATAACCAGACTTGTGCAACCATCCACACAAAAGCCACTGTGCAAGAATATAATGCCTGTATGCTACAGTCTGTCACCTTTATCTCCCCTTTTCACTTAGTTTGTCCTTAAGGTATTTCAGATAAATGTATATAAACTTCACACAATTTTAATACACACATATATATTCTCCATTTTAAAATGACCGAATTATACAGCACTAAAAATATCTAAAGAAAATAAAACTTTGAAAATATGATAGTAGTTTTTAATTAATAATTTTGTTTCTATTGTAGTTTAAAGGTATAAATTTATTACAGAATAAAATATTTAGTGCTTTCTTTCACTGGGGGATGTGACAGTAAAATATGGTGTCTATTCTTAGTTGTCAAACTTATTTATTTTCTGATGCAGTTTTAGGATTAGGGAGTCACACTAACTCACCCATGCTGTGAGATTTTCAATCATTTCTACCTTACCAAGCCATAGTGCTGTGTTGGCATTTTAATTTGATCCATGATACAAATTAAAATAAAACTTTGCTAAATTAATTTTGTAAAAACTTTTTATAGTTTAAAATACTAATGTTTTAAAAGTGCAAATGAATCAAAGCCCATGATTATGATATTTCTGTGCATAAGACATGTGATATGCTATAAAGGTTCCCCTTTACATTTTAAAATAAGATTAATTTTTTCCATTCAAGGGAACTTATCAATAAAGAGAATATTCCATATGGCTTCAACAACTGTGATGAGTGTATTTTGAATAGCCAGGAAGCAGAAAGGTTCCAGGATGACACTTGTGATTATGTTGGGGAAAGAAGCAAACCCAAGCGTCAGAAGTCGAGTCCCGGGCTCGCAGAGCTCAGTGAAAATCACGATGGGCTCCTGGTAAGTGAACGTTTTAGTAACTTCTTTACCCTGTAGAGAAGTATCTCTTTTTCTTAATTAAAAAAAATGGAGTTTCACAAAATTATAGGCGTCCTGAGAAAGACTCCTGGTCCAGAAAGTGAACACGTCTGTGTTTCTTTTTAATGAGTATACTGATGATGGCAGAGAAGTGTGGCATTCTGCCCAAAGAGCAAGAGACAACACTTTGATCTTGTTTAAACTGGTTTTAATCTAATTTTAAGCATTTTACATATTCATAAATAAAATTGTTTTGCACATTTCCTTTCTTTCCTCCATCTTCTTTATCCTTGTCCATATGAACACTTAAACTGGAACACAAAGCAAGATAGGTTAAGGTAGCCAGGAGAAACATCAGTGCTGCCCTCTGAAATCTTGTCATCCTTGATGGTATTAAGCCTAAACCCTTACAGTATCTTCCTCTCTATTAATCAAAAGCAAAAAGAGATTAATGGTCAACATGGTTATTTCATACCTGAAATTTGAGGCATTAATTCAATATCTAAGTTTTTGCATTCTTTCAGTCAGTGACAACGTCAGTGTAACAATTTAATATTCATCTTTTTGTTTATGCTACAGCTTATCTGAAAGATGAAACCCAAAATATGCCATCTTGTTCTTTTTGCTATTTTTTTCTTTTAATAAAATAACAACCCTGTAGATAAATGGAGTCTCCAATAGAAATGGAAACAGAGTATTTCTAGTCTCCTTTATCGCTCAGCTTTTAATGGCTTCATGCTGTGGTTTCTACACATTTATTAAAACTATATATTGGCTGGTTTTCCATTGCTAATTTTTATATATGCTTAGAAGAAAAATCTACATTTTCCCCTAAGTAAATGCGTATAATACAAAACTAGAAACTTATGATTGATCGTGTTCCCAAAACAATCACTGCACATTAACTGTATTTTAACATCAGTGATTTTTCCTTCTTTGCAAAAATGTATGTGGGAAAGAGAAATAGAGACAGACAGAGAAGAGAAAGAAGGAGAGAGAAAAACAGAGAGAGAACAGAGAGAGCGAGATACAGAAACAGAGACAAAGAGAATCAGAGACAGAAACAGACGAGGGTTTTAATCCAGTCCTTCTGTGTGCTAAGCTCAGTATCACCACTTAGCTATATCTCTAGCTCCTGAAGACCAAATAATTAAATAAAGTAACCTTATTAACTCTTTATTTGACCCATGATTTGCTTATCTGCCAAAAAGATTTATGGTTATTAAAAGCTTTATAGCAAGGAAAGAATGTACCTCTTAGTTTGAATCCTTTTTTAAAAAACATGAGTTTAGCCCATCAACCTTCCCCCAGGGAACAGTGCTGTGACCTTGTTAGATGCTAACTGTGAAGGCAAGTGGAAAGGCATATTCACTTCTTAAGGTACATGTCTGAACTTTGTTTGAAAAAATTTCAGTGGGAGACTCCTCGTCACAATTCATTTTTGGTGTGTGAAGTAATTTGCCGTTCCCCAATTGCCAGCTTCTACATTCAAAGACTGCATGCATACATGCCACATTAATACAAATGAGCTCTATGGACTTTGTTGCAATTAATAGTTTAGATTTTTCCAGCAAACTTGGCAGGTAAATCTACTCCTCTACAAAGTGATGATATTCTCAAAGAACCTTTGACTGTTTTGTGTTCTATGAGTTTTAAGGTTTTGTTTTTATTATTTGTAATTATGTGTAGGTAGGTGTGTGTTTCTGAGTGTAGGTATGTGCACATGAGTTCAGGTGCTTGTGGAAGCTAGAGGCATCAGATCCCCTGGAGATGGAGTTTCTAAGAGTCAAGAGCTGCCTGGTGTGGCTGCTTGGATTTGAACCTGGGTCTTCTGGAGGAGCAACAAATGATCTTAACTACTGATCTATCTCTTCAGTCTCCAAGTTTATTTAATTGGTTAGGAAACACTGGTTCACTCTGTACCTCTGACAGGCCTGGAGCCCACTCTGTAAACCAGGCTAGCCTGGAATTCACAGAGATCCAGCTGCTTCTGCCTCTCAGGTTTTTCATGAATTTAAAAATCTAACACTCACAGGTAAACACCGTAAACACCATGCAAAGAGCAGGGAACACAACAGTGAGCACTGTTTCTCCTCACTCTTTCTTTGTATGTCAGTTTCTCCACCTTCAAAAACTTTCCCCACACCAATTCAGGGTTTTCACACTTGGTTGAAATATTTGTTTTAATACAAAACCAAAAAAAAAAAAAAAGAAAAAGAAAAAGGAAAAAACTATATCCCTTCCCTTCTATATGTCAGAAAATAGTTTAGATCTTCAAGATTCAGAAAAAAGAAAAACAAGAAAAAAAAGTCCTGCCTTTGTGAGGTTTAAAATCTAGTCAGGAGGTGGGGAGAGTAAAGCACAAAGCATGAAACTATGATAATCACTAGGAAAAAAATACAGGTGATGATAACAGGAATTTCAGAGGACAGATTGTACAATTATATTACCAGTTGGGACAAGGATCTCCCATCAGAATATTTTAGGATAAAGTTCAGACATGTATCACAAGAAATGAATATTCCCTTTCACTCCCCTTCACAGTTACCCCTCGCACACTCGAGACACTGTTCCCAGTGAGAAAGTTGTATCTTTACCTACCCAGCCCTGCAGTCAAATTTTACCCAAACTTTTCTGCTGAAACCCGGCTCTCTTTGTTATGAACTGGCCCATTAAGATCCCACTGCAGTGGCCTTCGTGTAGCATACCCAGTGTTTGACGCCTGTCTCTTTGTCCTTGACCTCTGTTAACACTGACTTCTGTTTGCCCTCTTCTCAGTGACTATTTACTCCTTGCTGGAGTCATGCGGGGATGTAAGTGTTGCCCAAATTTTTGATACCTCTCTGTCAGATCTTTACTTTTGATCTTCAATACGAAGGCTGTCTCTACAGATGATTTCCACCTCAGTATTTGACTAGAATGCTGTCTCTATGCGCCTCACATCACACCAAAAGTCAACATCTTAGAACTGATTCTTCTTCTCTGTGATCTCTTTTGACCTGGGGTGTCCCTCTTACCCCATCTAATCATGTTCTCCTCAGCTGTCCTAAGCCCTTTCTTTTCCTTATCTTCAGCTTTTCTTCCAACTTTCTAATTGTCAAATGTAGATTATTATATTTAAAATATCTTAATTCCTGAACCAGCAATAATGGCTTTGAGGTGAAGGTGCTTGCTGCTAAGCCTGACTATCTAAGTTCAGTTCCTATATAATGGCAATGGAAAAATTGATTCTAGCAAGTTGCCCTTTGACCTTCACATATACATTTTTGGGAAGCTTATGCTTCACCCAATCCACACTCATGCACATAAAAATAAAAAGTCACTAAAAAGTAAACTATTCTGAATCCTTTTCCCTTTGTCTTGCCGTTGTACGGCTGATACCCTTTTCTAATTAGTTTGGAGTCAAAAGAGTAAGCTAGCTTGTACACCTTCAGTCTGCCCCCAAAAGACCATTCCATCTGTTGCTGCGAAACAAATCACCCACCCAATACAAGGGTTTCAAACATGATCTCAAGTACAACATAATACAGTAAGAGTGCCCAAACCACCTAGCAGTCATTCTCTAGGAAGTGCCATGTGTGAATAGGCCAGCCACCATGAAACACTGGCATAGTCACACAAGTCTCCAATAAGCACTCCTGTGGGTACTGGGGACCTAAATGATGGTCAGAACAAGTACACACATTCTGTCTACCTGAAGTTTGCCTTCTCAGAGGATGAGACAGGTGTCAAGTACATAAATACAGTCAGATGCAAAACTTACCAACTATTCTTCTGAGTCTGCTGAGCCTACAAATAAGCAAGCAAAAGCACACTCAGTCTTTGTTTAAGAATGACTGTTCTATCCTCAGTTCCCTGAATTATTTTTAGAATGCATGCTAGCACATGCCTGTGGTTCTATAATGTCAGTACCTTGGAGGCTGATGTAGGAAAATCTTGACACTGTCTAGAAGAGGGGATGCAGAGGCAAAAAAAAAAAAAAAACATTGACCACATTCACAGAGGCAGGAAAAGTCCTTACAAACATTCCTCCTGAGAAGCTTTAAGCTCACTTAGTCAACCTGAAATATCTATTCCAAATGTGTATTCACTTTTTAGTCTATTCTGCTAATTATTATGAGGATTAATGTCAGATGCTGTAGGATTTATGGGATCTTAACCCTACTGCCTTTTATGTTTTCAACTTATATTCAATTATAAATATAACCTGCAAGTCTAAAAGAACAAATGCCTTGATACAGCTAGCTTTGGACTGGAAATTACTTTAAATCCCCCTCTGCCCAACTAGACTCAAAACCTATTTGACCACAGCACTTAAACATGGAAAGAAAATGACTTTGGTCTCAAAAGCTGTACATGCTGACAGAGCTTGTTAAAGGACAAGGGCAGAAAGCCTCCTTTGAACAAACATGCCACCCTGAAGGTCAGGGCAGTGCTGCCAGTCAAAACAAGTCTTAGTCTAACCTTGAGTTAAAGAAAGGAGACCGTGATGTGAGCTCATTAGCAAAGGATCACTGGCAGGTTTAAATTCCTTTTTGTTACTTTTGGGCATTTTATGTTTTATTGCTTAAAATACATAGGCTAGGCCCAGCAGAATGGGATCAGCAGGACTGGCAGCCTGAGTTTGATCCCTGGGTCCTAAAATATGGCAGGGAAAACTAGCACCATAGAGTTATCCTCTGAATATAGACCTGTGCAGGTGTACTTGTGCCCTCATACACATACACATAAAACAAAAAACTACTGATATCGTAAAGAGGCACCATGAAGAGCTTTCTAGCTCTTCCCATCCCCATCCTTATCTTCCAGTCATGAAGTAGCCATGTGCCTAATAACAGCACAGATCCTGCCTTTCTACCCTAGTAACAGCACATATCCTGCCTTTTTTCTCCTGAGAAGTGATATGTATGGCTTCCAGGCCTGTCTCATGAGATGCCTCATTTGCTCCTTCCTCCTGTAAGTTGGAACAAAGAAGAAAACTCCAAGGTCATGTCTAGAGCTTTGTGCTGAAGAAAGCAGATGTTCTGGGATCCTGCAGTACTCAAGGAACACACCAAGTCTCTCTCTGTCTCTGTCTCTCTCATTTGGGCTTTGTTATACCCTACACAGTGCAGCAGCTCTCACACATTGTAGCACATTGATCACACATGCTGAACTGTGCTGGGTACCACTAGTGCAACAGCACATGCTGTCCAGACAGACCGCTGGTGTTGCCTCCATCACTTTCATAGTTTGACTGGCCCAAACATGCTTTGTCATAGTGTTTATAAGACCTTTGTTTCTGTCATAGGTCCTGAATAGGAAAGTTAAATGTTAATTGCCAAAACACAGAATGCAGAAGCCAATGCATTCTTTCTGTATTCAATGGTACACAAAGAAAATGAATCTTAGTTTTGTAAGTAAACATGGCAAGATTTGTTGAAAAAATCATAACGTACTAGCTGTTTTTATTTTCAGATGAAAGGTAAGCTGTAACTCAAACACAAGGGTTGCACTGAGGAGAAACTGCCTTGACTTAAAAATAAAATGGCATTGGCTTATGAAGAATTAGGTTGTATTGTGGTATTTTTCTCCATCTCTCTCCTTCCTTTTTACCCTCCCACCCTTATAGCCTCCTTTCCACTCTGAAGTCACATAAAACTTTTGCCCCTCCTTCACTTTCTTCACACTCCTTGTCTGCTCTGGTGGTTTTATATCTAGTTTCAAACTCTGTACCCACTCCCCTAATTCCTTACTTCCATACATAAGCATTCAAAGTTCAGGTTGACATATGAAAGAGAAGGAACATTTGTATCCTTCTGAGACTGGGTCACTCCATTTAATGGAGTTTTTCCATTTCTATCCATTTTCCTGCAAATTTCATGATTTTATTTTTGTTAACAGCTGACTAAAATTCCACTCTGTGTATACCACATTCACTCTCATTATCCATTCTTCTGTTGATGACATCTATGCTGGCTTCATTCATCTTGTCGCCCTAAATAGCATGTCAATAAACAGATGTGCAGGTATCTCTGTGGTAAGACACAGAATGCTTTGTGTATATGCCCAGGATTAGTATATCATATGATAGTTGTATTTCTTTTTTTAGTTAATTTATGTTTATTAATTGTAATGTATTCACTTTGTATCCCAGCTGTAGCCCCCTCCCAATCTCATCCTCCCTCCCTCATCTTCTCTGATGCTCCTTGAAAAGTCCACTGAAAAGGGAGGTCCTCCTCCCCTTCCCTCTGACCCTAGCTAATCAGGTCTCATCAGGACTGGCTGCATTGTCTTCCTTTGTGGCCTGGTAAGGCTGCTCCCCACTTAGGGGGAGGTGATCAAAGAGCCAGCCACTGAGTTCGTGTCAAAGACAGTCCCTGTTCCCCTTACTAGGGTACCCACTTGAAGACTGAGTTTCTAATTATTTGAGAAACTTCTAAACTTATTTCCATTGTGGTTGCACTAGTTTATACTGTCCCCAGGAACAGGTGAGAAATGCAAATAACACATATTTTTCTTTCCTTCTGCAGGCAATCGAATTCAGGGCCTACCTCAAACCAGGCAGGTATTCTACTGCTGAGCTTCATGCCAGCTCATTAGACAGACTTTGGATCAAGTTGATTTGTAATCAGATCATTCTATTCATCACTGCCTATTGTTTACTCAAAGTCATATAAGCATTATATTCAACAATGCTAACAAATTAAACTGTGTGTGAGGACACAGAACTGTAACCAAGCACTTTCCAGATGGAAGCATGAAAATACCTCAAGTTCATCCTTTATCATACAAGACTGTCTCGAAACCAATAAAGACTAAAAAGAAAATAAAAAACTAAATTAGCAGTGACTGTTAGATTAGATTAAAGATCATTCCTCTATTGTAGTTCCCAAACTATCCTGATTTCCTGGCAATCTGAGTTTTGTATATTAGCCATAAGAGTTTTTTTAAGCTAATGAGGATGTTACAATTGACCCTTTTAATGATGTTGTCGGATAAGGGGATGAGAGGGCTCCGTATACCTTTATACCAACAATCATCATTTTAACAAAACGAAGTGTCTTTATCTATAGAGTCCCTGATTTGTCTATTTTAAAGAAAGGAGAATATGCTGTTGAATTTTCTTTCCTTGCCTCATAGCAACTCACATTTGTTGTGTTACAGAACATGGAAAGTCTTAGTTCCATGCAGTCACATGAAAGACCTGGACCTGAAGCTGTTGAACTGGAGTCTTATAAGAGGTAATGTGAGAATTTTCTTCTCACTCTACTTTCAAGGGTATGAAAGATTTCTTTCACTAATCACAAAGTGAGTTATAAGAACTAAAAAAAAAAAAAAAAAAAAAAAAAAGAGTAGAAAGGATTGTATGTAGTATTTATTGCCAGAGAGTATTTGGGGTACAGACTCTACTATTATGGCAAACAATCACATTCACATGTGATTTTCTTATAGGTTTTTTTTACATGCATTTTTATAAGAGATATTCTCTTGTTTGAAATTTTTATAAAATCAATTTTGATCATATTCAACCTCTCTTCTCCAACTTCTCCAGATCCACCGTACTTCCTTACCCATCTAACTTCACATTCACCTTTTTAAAAAAGATAGACAAGCCAAAGTGTGTTGTTCAAATACTCTTGGGTATGAGAACTGCCCAAGAAGGTGGTACACACTCTTAAATCAAACTGGTTCTTCCTCTTCTATCTGCTATCAAATGCCAATAGCTCCTCAGCTAGTGTTGGGACTCATGCCACAAACTCCCCAACACTGGGATTTTATACGGCTTGAGCTTGGCAGATATTGTGTAGGCGGTCACAACTGCTGTGAATCCACATGTGCTGCTATTCCCAATAGATTAGTGCATTTCCTAGGTTGCTTATTAAATTTTAACTTTTTGTTCTATTTTGGTTTTGAATTTTATAAGAATTTGGTTTAGAGATTCTTTGACCACTTTTAAAAGAATTTTCTAGCATTACAATATGAATGGATAAAAGAGATTATAAAAATAAATGGATGAATAACGTGTTTGTTTTTGTTGTTGATAGCAAAGAAAATGAAAGACGTTGTAGAGACACTCAGCATTATGAGGTGAGTAGCCACAACACTGTAACTGGCTCTTGACTGTGCTTGGGAAATGGCGCTGGCCCACTGGCAAGGGCCAGTGATGTAATCAACAGGACTGCGATTAGAAAGGAGGGTAGATTATTATTATTGTAAAGATGGATTGTGACAGTACAGTGATAATTGTGTGGGATTTTTGTTTAAGCAGTGAAGTGACTGTGATGTCTCTATGACAATGCATCTTTTCCATGTGTGAGACATAGAAGTATCGAGCATTAACTCAGTTGTCACAAGAATTGCCTCATTCCTTCTCAAATTAACATAAATTCGTACTAAGTTGCTTAGTAGAATTCCTTTTATTAAGATTAAGTGAAAAGTTTCCCTTACCTCATGTCTATCTCTCTCAGTTTCATTCATTTTTCTGCCTTTGCATGTGTTGTCTTGGTGTCACCACACTGATTCAAGTACTAATTTTCTCTTGTGCCCATTTCTATTTCAGTTTAGTGTCTAAATTTTAAATGTATATATGTATATCATATCTTTCAATTCTAAGTGCCTCCAACTCCAGTGCCAATTTATGGAAAGAATTAATAGTTTTCTGGAAAATATGACTAAATATAGATATATTAATAATACATAAAAAACTGTCTTTGTAGCTGAGTAGTTCTTAATACTTGCTGAGTAGTGACCTAATTTATTAATTGAGTTATTCAAAAATATCTATTAAATTCTGTTACATATGTTCTATGGTAGGAGAGGCATTTACTGATAGCCAGCGTCAGTGCCCCCACAGAGCTTTGAGTCTAACAGATTGAGAATCTAAACGCTATGCTAGGTGGAAGAGAGTAGCAGCGTGTGTGTGCATCTAGCATGCACAAAGCCCTACATTTGATCTCTACCAGTAAAAAAACAAGGAATCTGAAAATTTAGGAACTTTCGCCTTAAAAAAGTACACAATCACACGAAACCATTGTAAATTAATGAAAACCTTCCCACCAATACTGTAGCTTTCTTATATTTCTTCTATTGAATTCTTGTTATGTATACTTCTTCATCAACCTGGACAGAAAGCTGGATGTGATACCATGCTAATTGCAGTGCTGGAAGCTAAGGCTTGAAGAATGACAGTCTGGCTACATAGCAAGACTTTGTCTATCCTCAAAAAACCTCCGTAGAGGCTGCATCTTTTTCCTTACTGACTTCAAGCTTCTGAGTAATTTCTTCAAATCTTATTTCCAACTCAAGCATCCTTCCTTCCACAGGACCAAAGCTATGTTATGCTTCTCTTGTCTCTAAGGACTGCGTTAATGAGCACATTTCTTATTTTCTCTGCCATCTTCCTGGCTCATAGAAAGCTCTTTGACACTGGATGTAAGCTTAAAGCATGCCAGACTCCTGGGGGATGTCTTCTTATCTTTTCTGGGATGAAGTAGAATAGACTAGCTTTGTCAATGAACTTCATGATAGTAAATCCCAAATAGCACACAAATTCCTAGTGGTCTCTCTCTGTCTCTGGGTCACACCACGATTGTTGGTACAGACCTTAACTTCTTCTCCTGAGTGCCAGGCCCTCTTCTTACATGTGCCGCCCATATGTAGCACCAAACAGCATCACTGCTAGCACCATGTAAACATCCACTATTAATAAACATCACCATCCTGACCACTTCATTTAGCAGAAGAAATTAGATGGTGAGTTAAAATCGAGGATAAGCTCTGTCTGTCACCCTTCATCATAGCTATACCAATGGAGAAAATACACCACTTCACACGATTGAGATATAAATATATATAATTTCAATATATATCTATTGTAAGGAACTATTTTTGTTACTGTTCATTAAATAATGGGAGATTTGTTTTCCATTTTTGACACACGTTTGCTTGTTTCAGTATGCTGTGGTTTCATATGAATCGCTTCCTAAAACTTCTGAAACAATACTAGTCTCTCCATCTCAGAGATAAAAAGTCTACCCTTTGTTCACCCTTCTAGAATTCTTTTTGTGTGTGTATATTTTTTTAATTAAATTTATTTATTTTTATTTATTACAACTTATTCACTTTGTATCCCAGCTGTAACCCCCTTTCTCAGCCCCTCCCAGTCCCGCCCTCCCTCCCTGTTTTACTTCCATGCCCCTCCCCAAGTCCACTGATAGGGGAGGTCCTCCTCCCTTTCCATCTGACCCTAGCCTATCAGGTCTTATCAGGAATGGCTGCTTTGTGTCTATGGCCTGGTAAGGCTGCACCCCCCTCAGGTAGAGGTGATCAGGAGCCTGCCCCTGAGATCATGTCAGACATTCCCGGGTGTCCCTTACTAGGGACCCCTCTTGGACACTGAGCTACCATGGGCTACATCTGTGCAGGGGTTCTAGGTTATCTCCATGCATGGTCCTTAGTCCCTGAGTATCAGTCTCAGAAAAGATCCCTGGGCCCAGATTTTTTTGTTCTGTTGCTATCTTTGTGGAGCTCCTGTCCCCTCCAGGTCTTTCATAAGATTTCATAGGGCTATGAGTCTCAGCATCTGCTTTAATACCCTGCAGGGTAGAGTCTTTCAGAGGCCCTCTGTGGTAGGCTCCTGTTCTGTTGCCTGCTTTCTCCCTCTTCCAATGTCTATCCCATTTCCCTTTCTGAATGAGGACTGATCATCTTACCTAGGGTCCTTCTTCTTTAACTTCTTTAGGTGTACAGATTTTAGTATGTTTATCCTATGTTATATGTCTAATATCCACTTATAAGTGAGCATATACCATGTGTGTATTTCTGCTTCTGGGATACCTCACTCAGGATGATCTAGAATTCTTATTTGTATTTAATTCAAGTGTCCTTTAGCAATCAGGCTAAAATGCCAGAATTTATATGTCCACAATGAATTCAGTTTACAGTTTAAATCATTTTCCAAAAGGATGATTTTGTTCCTACTGATACTGTCTTTAACAGTCTTTGTGAAAATTCCCAGCTCTATATATGAGAGCTGTTTTGTAACTAGTAGTCCCTTATTCTGGTGGACTCTGACCCTCAGCTCAGAGCTGTTCCTTATTGTGTGGACAGACAGGCAGGCAGAAACCTGTAAGTTTGTTTAATATCAAAATACAGGCATGACAGTTATTTTGTTTTTTTCAAATATCAATTGGATCCTTTAAATGTGCCTCATACTAAGGCCTGTTTTGAAAATGACCATAACCTTGCATCTTTATTCCATGTCTTTACATTTTTAAGTATGTAACTAAATTTATCCAAAAGGAGGGTCTCTGGGAGTCTTGAATAGGTACTGTTTACCAAGAGTTACACATTCCTTGCTTCTGAGGTTTGAATTAAAATTTATTTAATGACACACAATGAAAAATGTTCAGAGTCACCTTAAAATGTCACAAAGGAAAGGATGGTTTCCTGGGGCAGGCCTTGGAGAGAGTAGCACTTTAATAAAATATGCTCCATGAACTGTATGAATGGAGATAACCTAAGGAAAAGGTGGTGCATGCTTTATGACATGTGGAGCCTAGAGTGTGTGTTCTTTCTTTCTGGAACACATTTAAAATCAGAGGTATCCAGAAGAGAGAGCATCTCACCACTGGCATGTCCTCCTTCTAATACCAATGACTGAAAATACATTTCTAGAGTTGTGCTTGCTATGGAAGTGTCTTATGCCTGAGATTCTTCTGTAAGCTAAGCTTTTTTCTTTAAAGGTTTATTTATTTTTTTATTGTTTTTAATTATACATCTGTGTGTGAGTATACACGAATGAGTGAAGATGTCAATGGAGGCCACAGGCGTCAGGTCTCCCTACACTAGAGCTGGAATTACAGGCAGTGGTGAGTTATCTGATGTGGGTGCCTGGAAACTGAACTTGGGTCCTCTGTAAGAATAAGTAAGCACCCTTAAATCACTGAGCCATCTCTCCAGCCAAAGCTAAGCAATAGCATATTGTAAAAATATGTAACACTTCATATAAAATCTAAAGTATTCAAACAATAAACTTATAATGAATCTCTTTGCCATGGAAGTAAATCCATCAGGAATTACTGATTGTATACAAGAGTATTGCATTATCAGAGAGAGGATTTTATTTCAGAATTCTATGCCAACAAAGTGTTAAATTCTTTCAAGACATTTTTATGCTCTTTATGCCTTCTAAGCCCACCGATTAAGAGTGATTAGAAGCATACCTTTGATAACAAACAGGACATTCATTATAAAAGCCTATTTCCCTTTTTCTCATCCTGCTTCAAAAAAAAAAAAAGCAATTAAATAAAAGAAGGGAAAGAAAAAAGAGAAGGGGAGAAGTTAAGGCTTGCCAAGCAAGACTGAGAGCTCATTGTCCCGTCCTCTCAAGTGCAAGCTCTCCCTGACCCTGAGAAAAAGGACTGTCCATGCTCAGCACACACTACTGGAGCTTGTGCATATAGGAACCTTCAGGATGTGTTATGTCTGCTCTCCTTTATTATCAGACCAAACAGCAAATGTTGATGTTTTCCTGTGTGTTCAGTTGCTACTGGTTTTTCCTGGGAAAACTGCATTGTCCAGCAGCCTCTAGTGTTTTCATTCCTCATTCCACCAAATCTTTAGCCACTTACCTAAATCCTGTTTGGGAATGGCACATAAGCTCACCTGAAGTTGAACAGGGCAGGAAGAAAGCAGGTTCAGTTTAACAACAGTGATACTGAGACTTAAATTAGTAGTTTGAACCTGCATGTGGACTGTCACCTTAGGCCCAGGTGAGACAAGCTGCCTGTATTGGCTCTATAAGGGGAAAGCTGCCAGCCAGCGCTTTCCCCTTATAATTTCTATAACACCAGCACTTGGACATTCAATGGTTCTCTTCCATAGGGAATTCTATACCTTATGTATTTGTGAATCCTATTGCCCAAAACATGCTATCTGTTCAATAAGCATTTGCCAAATAGGGAAAGGAGTAGGGGTTGAAACAGAAATCTCTGTACCCTTACTGTGGGCTCTCTGTGTGTGTTTTTCATTTGTCCCTCACAACAGCTCGAAGACACAGTCCAGTAATAGAGAAAGGGAAGCTAAGGCTCAAAGAGGTGGACTCACAGGTCTTGACAAAGCAAAGCTGCTATTTAACTGAGGTCTCTGCCTCCAGGACCCATCCTTATCTGCCTACTATCCTAGCCATCTATTATTCCACTGAGCAAAGACTTGTGTTTTCATGTGAGGCAGCATTTTAATAGAGGTTCAGTTTGCTCCACATCATAGCATAAAAGATTTCTGAGTTGAAAATTATGCACTTAATTTACTTTTTGATTTAACTGAAGATATTAGATGTATAAACAAAAAAAGTTTAAACCAAAAATATTTTTGTAATTCATACTACCCTTGACATGCTAACCTGAATGATCAAAGAGGAGAAACATAAGCAAATAGGCAGTATTTTGCTAGCGCTGTGATAAACATTCCTAGAGAATATGGTCTGCTAAGCAAGGTGCCTCTGCTAAGGTACCTGCAGGAAGGAAGAGCAATGTGTGTCTTCTTCAACATGGCTACAGAGCCCGAGTGGCCACTGAGCAGCAGCCCACCATCACTGACCCCTCCTCAGCAGTAGCCAGTTGTGCAACACAAGTCCAGTGGAACATATCAGCTTCATAGACCAATTGGGCCAAAAATTAGGACTTAGGCTGCTAAAATAAGAGGACAAGAGAAACAATAACTTCAGGGATGAATCAGAGTCCAGCAAGACAGAGCCAAGTTGTACATGAGTTCCACTAAAAAGAACATGTTTGCTGTGTAAGTATGTCCAATGTTGCCTAGCTGGGATAGGTAGAGGGGAGAGGGATGTCTATTCTTGTTCTGAGAATCAACTTTAGCTAACCTAGGTTTATTATCCAGGATGTCCTGTTCAACACTGAATGGTGCCCACCCTGGTGGCACGTCTTACTGATTGCAGATGTGATGACTACTTGTTATTTCTAAACCATCTTAAAAAGACAACAACAAAACGAAACAGCAGGGCCTCATCAGACACAGCTATATATGCTCACTTCCTTCTTCCTGAAATGCTCTTCCAAATGCAAGCCGCCCATTCCCTCACTTCCTTCACATCTCTCCCTGTGTATTATTGTGGGAAAAAAGCCATCCCTGGCCACTCAATATAAAACAAGACACCTCACCCACTTTTACTAATGTCCCATTTTCCTCCATAGACCTAATGATATTTGTATTTTTAAAACTTTTAATGACTTACTTATTTTTATTCTATGTCTGAGGGTGTTTGGGCTGCACATTATGTCTGCACTATGTGTGTAAAGTGCCCGTGGAGTGCAAAGGACGTCAGATCCCCTGGAACTGGAATTACAAATAGTGGTAGCCCCCACAGAGGTACTGAGAATGGAACCTGTTTTTTTATAAGAACAATAGTGCTCTTAATCACTGAGCCATCTTTCTAGCCTCATAATAATTTCTTATTAACTGATACTATCATGTAACACTCATAGAACAGTTTATTTTGTCTAGTGCAATTTTCCCAGTATCTAAAATAATTTTTAAATAGCACAAAACATCTAACACACACTGGAATGTCATTCACTGAATGGACTCATGAGCACATTTCATCTTTGCAGGTCCTGTCTTTGATGGGTAGTGGCCAGCACTATTGTACACTGAATTATGCAGTGCTTAGCTCAGCATACGGAGTATTTCAGCCTTGCCTCTGCGTCTGGAACCCTTGTCATCTGCCTTCCCCCTCTCAGCCTCAGGGTGTCTAATCTGGAACCTCTTCTCCCACTGTGGCCAGGGTGCTCTATGTTTCACTTGCCTTCACACTCGTCCATTTCTTTCTAAGTGGCGTACCCTCTTCTACAGCCTTTCCACCCACATCTGCTGCCTAAGTCAACTGCAACTGCAGTTCATTGATGGCAAATTCACTGGTAGTTGTGTTTGGTGATTGTTTTTTCACATAATGCATTAGTGTGTCTTTTTTTATTTGGTGGGGGCAGAGTTTTGAGATAGGTTTCTTTTTGTAGCACTGGCTCTCCTGGACTCAGTTTGCAGACCCAGGCTGGCCTCGAACTCTCCAGGTTCTGCCTGCCTCCGCCTCCCAAGTGCTGGGATTAAAGGCATATGTCCCATCTTTTGATGTAGCATGTTTTACCTTAAAGCCAATCATACATGCTTTGTCACCTAGTCCCCTCACTAGCAGTTTGGGGGCCTGGCATTTCTCTCATTGGTCTTTACATGGTGCTATATAGAGCAGAGAGAATGGTGGCTTTTGATTGGCTGTCTCTTTTTGTGTTGTAGACTGTAGGCTTTAATTATCATCTTTTAGATCGTCACAATAACTATAAAAGCTCATTGAGAAATACGATATGTTCCATTTCTCTGTCTTACACGTATATAGTTATACAAACTCACATGTTCACACACAACTTTGACTGTCCCTAAAACATCTAAAAGCTGAGTACCAGATGGAAGCTTTCAACCCTCGTCCACTTTGGCTCAAGGAATATCTCAAGGACTTTTGTGATAGATCTATTTCCCAGTAGACAGATAACACACTTAAAATGTCCTAGAGCAGCAGCTGGGGTGACATATCAGATTTCCTGCATATCAGATATTTACATTATGATTCATAACAATAGCAAAATTACAGTTATAAAGTAGCAACAAAATAGTGTTATGGTTGGGAATCACCACAACATGAGGAAGGGTCACAGTATTAGGAAGGTTACGAACCACTGTCCTAAAAATAAAAATAAAAACCACTGTCCTAGGGTGTAAGGTGGCCATGCTGTTTGCAAGTGATGCTACTACTCATCTCGACTTTACTGAAGTTTGGTTTTGTTTCACTGTTAGGAAATGCCAGTCCTCATGCTTCACTCACTAGAAACAGAATAGTAAGAAAGCACTGCGTTTTCCCCTGGTGATCGCAAAGTGGGTTGCCAGCTACTGAAGGGAGCTGGAAGTCTTAAATAGCGCCTTATTTTAAGTATAACAACATCCCCTACATTAACGAAGCCACTTATGATTTCCAGATGTTCTTGTTTTTTTATTCAATTAATAATAGGATAGCTAAAAATAAATGTTCATTTACCCTCAAGGAAATATTTTGTACAGATGTGTGCTACTTTAAAAGCACATTTTTGAGTAAAAATATTTAAGCACGATCATTTACGATTTCATGAAAGCAGGAAGAGGCATAACAATTTAATATACAGTATGCCAAGAAAATAAGTTAAAAATTAAATTTTGATGCAAAAGAATTAACTTAAGTGCTATTTTAAACACACAAGCATTTAGCTTAAACATCTGCCTTTTAGGGAAGGTTTTCCTTCCATCCTGTGTCCTAGGCAAGTGTAGGTGCAGCTAATGGCAGAGCCAAATGCAGCTTTAGTATTCAAGGTAGATGTGTAGATACAAAAAGAATGACAACTACGCAGTTGTAAGATACAATTACAGATCACAGACTTGCCAGCCCTTACTTTGACTGGGAGGGAAGATGGTTCTCCCTGCAATCTTGGCTTGTTTTTCAAGGCTATTCCTCACTGCTAGCTGAGTGCTACCCGAGCCATTTGAATTTGCGCAACAATGTTTTAATACCCAAAGCGCCTCCGTAAATAATCTGTTCTCCCCACACTCTGGAGAAAACAGCCCCATTTAATCGATCTAAGCCTGAGGGCTCAGAGGAGTGTGGGGTGGCCCCAGCCTCTGCCCCTGCCCTTGGAGGAATGTTTACCTAAGCGGCAAAGACTGCTCACTGCTCACTGCTCACTGCCTGCCAGACACACCAGGTTGCTGCCGCAGCCTTAGCAACTGTGGCCAGCTTTTTGTTGTTGTTTACCATCTGATGGGCCATGCTCCTTTAAGAAACATAAATTCTTTCTCCTCTGTCCCTGCCCTAGTCAGTAATCCCTCAAGACCTGTCAGCTGCCTGAACTCATCTGGAGGAACAGCCTAAGGAAATCATCTTGCCTCTCCCCCCAAAAAGGAAAGTTAAAGGCTGGCAGATGGACAGTGGCTTTTTGCATGAGAGTAGCCAGATAGCGCCCAGGGGGCATCAAGCCCTGGTTTTTATTTCTGCAATGGAAGTGTTAGCAGCTGTGGCTTGGGAGGTTGCATTCAGAAGGCTTGGAATTGCTGCAAATGTTTTTGCATTTTGCTGAACAGTAGCCATTAGGGGACCTTGTGTTATTATTGCAGAGCTCCACAATGAAGATTCAGGAGCACCCCAGTATATCTGACACCAAACAACAGAGGAATCAAGATCCTGATGATCAGCAGGAGAGCTTTGTCTCTGAAATGCCACAGTTGGACCTGACAGCATTGTGCGATGAGAAGAACTGGGAAGGTAGGTGAACATCCGCCATTTGGGTTTTGCACTGAAAAGGCAAAACCTTATATGAATAAGTGTATACAAGGCATGTGACCGCATGCCTGTGCGGGTGAGAGTAAGGGTATGCATGCAGAAGAAACTGGGTTTCTATAAAAAATGACTTCAAATCCTTTACCAGGCATGGGAACATGTCGTATTTAATGTTGCCAAGGGTAGTTGCAATACTGGAAAGGAAAATACGGATGTTCCTTGTCCTATATCTTGCAGGACATTTTAACCCACCAAAAGTGCTGCCCCTGCTTGTTGCACGCTGCAGAAAGCCAGCCATCTACCACCTCACCTGCTACCCCCCATGCTTTAGCTGCCCTGATACCTGCCAGCCACCCCGCTGCGTTACCCACTTCCTGCAGTCCACCTTCCAAGTTTTTAAGGAAGATGTTTTCTTTGCTTTTTTCCATCTTTTAATATATACATTTTAAAAATTCACATTAACACATCCTTGAGGGCTTGTCAGCAGTTCTATCATCCCTCTGTCAGCGCTCTATACAGTGTGTGTCTGAAGGCCACATCCAAGGAGAAATGGGCTCCTGGCTTCAGTACGGCAGCATAACTTAACATAATGACTTAGCAGAGAGTCACAGCTATGAAAATCTGCCCTGCTCATGTGGGTATTCCCTGCCCTTATCCCGACCCACTCCTCTGTTTTCATCTAATGATCAAAAGTCCATCTGAAGAGCCCGAAGGGTGAAAGGCTGACCTACTTACTGTCCTGGCACACAGGGCTCCATGAGAACAGATCGTTTTGTTTTCATTTTCTTTCCTGTAATCTAAGAAACCAGTTCTGGTTATTTTCGTATAATTAGGCGGCAGATCTGAAGTTTTGTCAGATCATTCCAGCTCAAAATATTCAGGGAACAAAAGAGGGCATGGTTGACTTGCCGTGTTAAATTTAACTGATCTATTTCTGCATATCGATTGGTTTGTCATTCATTTTTGATCACTTTGACATAATTATGTGTCTTTTTAGTCTATAGATTGGCAATAATCTGCATTTTCTAATTTACGAGTCTCAGAGTGGTCACTGTTGCCCAAATAGAAGCAAAAGTAAAGTAAACCCTGTATTTGAGTTTCAGTAATACAGGCTAGCATATAGCTTTTCATAAAAAGAGAAATTTGGAGCCAGAAATCAAATGATCTATAGTCTTTTTCTGATCCTCCCCAGAAATAGCCTCGGTTTGATTATTTCTCTTGGTTAATCACAAATTTAAATTTCTCTCTCAACACACATAACCTAAAATAAAGCTGAACATGCCCTCCAAGAGTGGTTGGAAGTCAATTTAGAGTTTTATTACTTCAAAGAATTTTTCTCCATAGAATAAAAATGTGGAGGAAGCAGCATCTTATTTAGAAGGTTGGACAGTATGTTTTCCAAAAGATTATTGGAAAAATACACTTCACAGGTTGGATTGGGCAGGAGACTTGTGTTGCAAATTGCTGTACTATTCTTTCCTCCTCCCGTTACATTTGCGTTTGTTGTTGAACATCTACACCTTTAAAATCTACAGGGATTTATTTTTCAAGGTCATTTTAGCTGCTTGGTTACTACTCTCAGTAAACTATTTAAAATTATGTATTTTAATTTTCAAGTAGTTTTACAGCAGGAACATGGCCATAAGTATAGTCAAAATAAAGGAACCAACGTGCAAAGCTAGATTAAATGACAACAATAAATTTGATATCATTTATAGTTTCAGTAATAAATGAAAAGGTGTTTTTCTAGTAGCAAGTAAGTTTCACACTAGTTTAAGCTGTGCACACAAAAGCAAGGCAACAAAATATAAAAATGGAAGTAATAGTGATTACCAATCTACACAGACCAAAATCCACTCTCAGCTCATAGACACACACACCATCCCAGCCACTGTGTGAGGGGACATTCTAAGTTTGCATGCCTGCTCCCTGGCCGGTGCGATTGGTCACAGTCTGATGTGGAGTCAGGAAAGGTCACCTGATATAGAGTGGTGTGAGGCTGTGGTAGAAGTCCCTGCAAGTGTTTGTCTCGAAATAATGTTCTGTAAATTCTTAAGCCTAGGATCAAGAAAACAATGAAAGGGATTGAAATGTTAAGTAGATTCCGTAGTCTACAAAGTGGAACCTTTGGAAAGTAAACATGGAATCAGTCTCATCTGCTGACTGGCATGGAACCAGCCATGCCTTCACACTTTAAGGCACATTATGTAATCTGTCATTGCCATTATTCTTTTAAGGTTTCAATTCTCCAAAGTTAAATGAACACACAAAATCAAAGGCATTGTTCTGATATTGAAAGGTAATTAGAACTGTGTAATTTGAAATGTTACTAAGTCCCATGCATCCTGAGATTCTCAAAGAATAATTTTTTAAAAAGAAGCAAAATCACTAATAACTAGGCAGGCCATGTATTTTCTAAATGTTGCCCATTCACATCAACCTCGATTCTTTTCTTTGTAGTGCTCTAGACCCTGGATTTGGAAATGCTGCACTTGAAGAGATAGCAGCTGGGCTCCTGGCAAGGTCTTAAAGATAGCTTTCTCTAAGAATGTAGGGAACAGAAGACAGGCAGGGTGGTACAGAGTAACTGATTAGAAAACTATGTGTACATGTGCAAGGCCATGGGTTACAGTCACCTCAAAAGGCATTGATCTTTTGCTTAAAGTCATTAGCCCTGTTCCACACAATTATCAATAATCTAAGCAGACCTATTGGGGACCTGTTTCTTAACTTTGCAGACAGAGGCAAAACAGATGTGTGAGCCTTAAAACTTAAATCTGGGATTGATAAAGCTGACTGCTAGAGTTTCTTATGGATCTAGTAGTTTGCAAGACTTTTGAACAATTTAGTAAGGCTAGCATTGTTCTACGGTTGAATCTTGGAACAGTAAAAAGAATTTATGAAAGTCATCCCCCCGAGGGTGGTCTCTATCTTTCCTTGTCCGGGGTGTACCAACAACTCTTTGAGCAGCTGAGAAGAGAGTTATGACATCATGACAAGCGGTAATGGCTCTAAATAACGTAGTTGGAAAATAAGCATGGAAAATGTCATCTCCTTTAATTTTGTCCAGGTCAATAACTCATTTCGATAACCCGTTTCTTTTATATAGCCAATGGCTACAGCCAGATTAGCAGAGTGCAGCTGTCATGATGTCCTGCACCAGTTTTTCTCAGAGATGAATTCCTTACTATGATGGGTTGATTCCCTTTATATGCCTGTGTACTGTGGTATCTGAACTGGGATTCTTCAGAACCTGTCCTTATCAATTACATAGCAGGAACACAGCTTTCATATTTGTCCTTTCTGATCATCTGCTATGGGATCAGGTGACCTGAATGAATTGTTTTTAATAAAAAAGTGACATGATTTCATTTAGAGTTCATTGTGAGTGTACTAAAAGGATTTTTATTTGAAAATGAAAATGTGCTTATATGTTCTGCTGGAGAAAAATCCAGTGTGAAGCCTCGTGTCTTTCTGTTGTCCCTTTGAATACTTTTCTTGCAATATCCTTGTTTCAATGTTCTTGAGTTCCTAACTAAATATAAAATTTTTTCAAGCAGCTATTAGAAATGATGATGCATCATCATCATTTCACAAATGGTGATGCATCCTTGAAACTAGCTCTCTACAAAGCAATATAATTGTATATACCATGTGTCACAGTATGCAGGGCTGTAACATGGTTTCCTGGTTGAGTGAAAACTACCAAATAGATACTAGAGTATTTCAGACTATGATGTAGAAATGGTTGTACTGACTCTTTAATCTATGAAATTCATACTTTATGTCAGAGTCCTTTAACTCTGAGCCAGCATAGAAGAAGAAAAGGAAGATATTCACATAAGTGTTCCACGTTGCAGAATTGGGAAACCATCCACTTCTGTTCCACCTTCAGAACAATGATGCAACATTACTCTTTATTTTGCTAAAGCTGAAATTCATAATGATTTTAATATATCTTATCTTTCAGTAATGAATTCATCTACCCTACCTACATGGTTTGTAAGAAACTTGTACAATTTCCTCAGCTGTCTCATTTCCTATTCAACACTGAAAACATTGGGAAAGAATGTATTTGGGTGTTTTGTTTGCTTGTTTTATTTGTTATTGAAATGGTTGGTCTAGGACAAAGACAAAATAAAGCTGTATTAAACAAGAGAATGGATAGATATTTTCAGGTTAGCTGCCAAACACTACACTTAATTCAGTCTGTTTACGATGAACTCATGACCATAGAGATCAAATGATTGAAAACTCAAAGATGTTTTCATTTTAGAAAATGTATCCAGCTGTATTAAAATTTGAATTGAGGGTGTCAGGATCAAAAGTAAGACTTTTAAAATCTGTATTTCTTTTTTCTTGATGAAAAGAAATGTCAAACTAACTAGAATGCTCTTGTGCCAATATCGACATTACACTTTGTTTTTATCAAAGCTTCTGGTCCCCACAAAGCAGCTTCCTCTCCCCTCAGTTGCTTATGCCTCTGAGAGGAGAAGCTATGTCCAGGGACATGGCTGCTTTGGTCATCTTAACCCTTTTCCAGTCTGGCTGAGTTGAGGTTTGTCTTAGGAAATAGAAGATGCAATCTGGTCAGTCTAACAATCCATTTTCTGCAACTTAACACTAAGCTTTATGTTTTCCCCAGAGATTGCTTTCTCCTGCCTCTCTCCTTCCATAGTGCATTTCACCCTTTTATGTTGGTAGAGCATAGCTGCTCTGTCCTGAGAACTGCCACTTACCACACACAGACCAATGCCATCAGTCCAAAGAGTGAGATGTTTGTCTCCAGACTTAGGCCCATGCATTGCCCCATCTTTTGACCCTCAACAGACAAGACAGTTTTTTCTTGAACAGTTTTATTTTTCAAAATATTTATCTATGTTCCCAGATAACTTGAGTTCCTTTAAATTTTGCAAACCTTGTTCTTTATGACATAATATTTTAAGTAAACATATTTATCTTCCTGTTATGGTCTAAAGTCTTCCAAACTTTCAGGCAGTTGTCATTGATTCTGTAGCTCTGGCACATTCTAAAGCAAAGTTAAAAGTTAGAAGGCACCTCCTCCCCTTCTATCTGACCCTAGGCTATCAGGTCTCATCAGGACTGGCTGCATTGTCTTCCTCTGTGGCCTGGTAAGGCTGCTCCCCCTTCAAGGGGAGGTGATCAAAGAGCCAGTCACTGAGTTCGTGCTAGAAACAGTCCCTGTTCACCTTACTAGGGAACCCACTGGAGAGGGGCATAGAGAGAGAAGAGGGAGGGAGGGTAGGATTGGGGGGAGAAGAGGGAGGGGCCACAGCCAGAATACAAAGTGAATAAATAATAATAACTAATAAAAAATGCAACAAAAAAATGTTAGAAAGTGCACATGCAACCCACTCTTTTTACTGATTGGGTGCTTGTTCTTAACCTCCTTACATTTCACCGGCCTTATCTTTCAGCAGCCTGGGATCAGTAGTTCTCAAACCTGATAATCGCATGCACACTTTGATTGCTTGAGCAGCCTTTAAGTATGTGCATGCTCTTGTATGTGCATATAGATGTACTTGTGTACATGTTCCTCGGTCTGTAATATGTGGAACTTCACTTAAATACATTGGATATGAAGTGGGTTAAGCATTTGTGTGTTGATACTTGTTACCTGTTTCTGTGCATTACTCTAAACATGAATTAAGGGTGAGAGGTCTTAAAAGCAGTTAACCTGGCTCTGACCTTACCGGAGTACAATCTACTCTTTCGGAATACAAAGTTTAAGCACATTTATTCCATATAGCTGTATACATTTTCAAGCTTCAAATTGAAGGGGCCACTCGGTGTTCTATGATTCAAACTGCACAAATCCAAGAATCTATGATCATGGCAAGTAGCTAGCCTTATGGAAATCATAAATGGCAAGTGTAATCTTTAATGCCGAGTATTATCAGCGGACAACAGTGCGACATCCAAGATCTACGTTAAATTCTGTCAGATGGTTTTAAAGGCTTTTCTTAATATTCATTTATGTTGTTGGAGGAGCCGTGTTGTACCTGTTCCACAGTGAACATGTGAAGCTTAGAGAGCAATGTGATTAGTTGGTTCTCTCCTTTCAACATGTGGGTTTCAGGCATCAAATTCAGGGCATCAGGACCTTTACCCAGGAAGCCATTTTGCTGGGCCAATTGTTGTTGTTTTATCCAACTAAGGAAAGGAGTATTTTGAAATGCGTCTTGTAATAAATAGGAATAAACACCATCTTCTTCTTTTGTAAAATAAAAGGTCAGGATTTTGTGCTTTTTTTTTCTTATTATTACCTAAAATAATCTGTATGGGTTTAGACACTATAAGGCTCTTTTTCCTTTCTTCATAATTTATGTGTGTTCCCTCCTCCTGCTCTTGGGCAGCTTCTGAAATTACAAGTGCAAAGCTCAGCCAGAAGCATGCTAATCCCACATGCTAGGCAGAGGCACAGGGAGTGTATCTCCAAATGACCCACACAGAGGTTGTAAACACTTGGTAAATAGGATCTGACAAATCTAACATGGCTCCTTGTTGTCAGGATAACCATAGTCCGATGTGCACCCTCACTAACACACTCATGGCTCTTCCAGTAGCGCTTCTGCTTGGAAAGGTTTCTATCACTTACCTATTGGGGAAACTGGAATTGTACACAATTGGATATGTCCTTCCAGGCTGTTCCTCGGGGCAGCCCTAGCAAATCCTGAAAGCAAGTGAGAATGGAGAGAAAGGCAGGTGGTGGCCATGAGACAGAGTGACGATTTCAGTTGGGCCTAGCACCTACCCTGGACCTTAGATGTGACGTGAGGGGCACCCAATGGTGGATCAGGAAAACTGGGTAATAATGCTTTCAAGAACAATGTTAACCTGTTAAATCATGTCTATTTTCCAGAACCCATCCCTTGCTGGCAGCAAGAAAATGTAGACTCTGATGAAGCCCGCCTTTCCCCTCAGGCTGGGCGCCTGATTCACCAGCTTCTGGATGAAGATAGCGACCCCATGCTGTCCCCTAGGTTCTATGCCTATGGGCAGAGCAGGCAGTACCTGGATGACACAGAAGTGCCTCCTTCTCCCCCTGACTCCCATTCTTTCATGAGGTACGTTCTGCATTCCTGATAAGGAACTGCACCAGCCACATAACATTAGAGCAGACAGAATGGCACTGATGGCTAGCCCATATAGTAAAAATTAAGTTGAGGCTCTGTGGCTAGACACACCTGAAGTTCTCCATCCTAGAGCTCAGACAATGTTGGAGTTTTCACCTGAGCTGCGGCCTAACTGCAAATCTCATTTTGAATTCCAATTAGCACCTCCTTCCTAAAGCTCTGTCCAATTTAACAGTTAAGCTTGTAGTCAGTCTCGGATTGTTATCTTATGTAAGTGGAAGTGACAGAAACACAGACTTATGTAATAGGTGGCATCTTCAGAACTCAGAGTCAGAGAATGTACCCATCCACTAGGTTTTTATCAAACCAGAGAGGATGTTTTCACTCCTTTGTGCCATATACTTTCCTATCCTGAAGGGCCTCCCCATAGTTATGGCTCATTCGTGGAGCAGCTAACCCAGGCCATGGTCTTTGCAGGCGGAGAAGTGCCTCCCTGGGGTCCTATGATGATGAGCAAGAGGACTTGACACCTGTGCAGCTCACCAGAAGGATCCAGACCCTTAAAAAGAAGATCCGGAAGTTTGAGGACAGGTTTGAAGAGGAGAGGAAGTACAGAGTGAGTTCTCCATATGGTCTTTTTGCCCCAACACACCCTTCAGCATGTAGAGAAGCAGTTCTCAACCTGGGGGTTGCATAGCAGATAGTTACATTACATTTCATAACAGTAGCAGAATTGTAGTTAATGAAGTAGCAACGGGATTCACCACAACATGAGGATTAAAGGGTCACAGTATTAGAAAGGTTGAGAACCACTGATGTAGAGGATACCAGAAGCCAATTAAAGAAGGGAAGTTTATTTGTTGGGCTAAAATTTGATTCAGGATGATCTTCTACAATTTTCTCCACACTAGGCTCCTTCCATTATTGGCTCTTTCTTCGTCTCCCACAACAGTGACAAGAGGGCATATATATATTTTTTTATGGTGGTTGCAGTATAAGCCCATAAACTCTTCCACTTTCTGCTTCAATAGCTTCATAATCTGAAACATACAAATATTAGAAAAGGGTATATGGATCCCCACAGGAGTTCATGATCATAAAGAGCCTGTATTTTGCCCTTAAGGAAATCTGTGGGAGTATCAGAAATAAGCAATAAAATATTTATTCTAGATCTTCTTTTCCCAGCCCTCCCACAGTGACAAAGCAGCCAACCCTGAGGTTCTGAAGTGGACAAATGACTTGGCCAAATTCCGGAAACAGCTTAAAGGTAAGTGATGCTGTGAACCTAATGGCATAGCCTGTGTGCAATAAACCAGAGCCCTTGTGTCCTGCAGAGTTAGTGTCACCGTCCATCTGGGTGTCCCAAGCCTGAAGAAGCTTCCCAGTTCTCCAAGTTCTTTACTGAACACTACCTCAAGACATTATAGAGTTACATTACAAAACAACCGGACCAGATATGATATGAATTCCTCAGCATGTCTTCATTTCCACACATTCCTCCTAGAAGGATGGCTTCATATTAGTACTTCTTCAGCACCTTCTTTATTCTAAAGTTGCATTTGCTGGAGTGATAGAAGGCAGCCCATCAGACATGACTGAAAAAGAGTAGGCCCCTTTTCCCTTGTATTTAGGGGTAGTCACAGAAATGACTAAATGGAATAAAAATGGGGTATGTAGATTGGTTGAAAAGCAGTGGTCAGTGTCTGATTCTAGATCAGCACATCTATACAGACAATGGGAATATATTTGAAATGTTTCTGTCTATTTCTGACATCAGATTCCAAGCCAAGGTAGCCAAAAGCTAACACTTTCCCAAGAATTAGAGTTTGGGAAATATTTATGAAGACCCATGAAGAGTCTATTACAGTTTGGTTTATGTAATGATCCAGGAATTTCCACTTATATTATAGTTTCAATTATTTCTAAAACAGTATGACTAAGCAGTTATTGACATGACAGTTAAAGCAATCTGGATTCACCAGTCCTCAGTATTAGGTATCTGTTTCCAAATCTAATTGCCTAGAGTCCAAACTGAAGATGTCTGAAGAGGACCTCACCCCCAGGACACGGCAACGAAGCAACACACTTCCAAAGAGTTTTGGTTCCCAGCTAGAAAAAGAAGATGAGAAGAAACATGAACTGGTGGATAAAGCCATCAGGCCCAGTGTTGAAGCCACACTGGAATGTATACAGAGGAAGCTCCAGGAGAAGCGAGCAGAGTCCAGCCGTCCTGAGGACATTAAGGTATGATGCTAAGAGATCTGCCCTCAGTGCAGCCAACACAGTGAAAACACAAGCCATGCAGATTGCTGTTGATTCCTTTGCCACATATATCTTCTGCACCACTTGCTTTCCAGCCAGGAGATACTCTGCTCTACTGTCTGCTGGCATTACAGCATTAAGCCCAGTGAAAAGGGGGGGGGGAACGATGAGAGATAGGGCATGTCACATGAATTCCCACAAGCACAATGATACTCTCTAAGGCTTCCCACATGTGTAGAGAAGTATATGAAAGCTGCAGTGTTTTATCTATGGGTGTTGTGGTTTCTGCAAAACAGTGGAAAGCAGATTGTTCTATTGACTCTTTGTAAAATGAACTCATTGAGGCAAGAGAGATGGTTCAGTGGTTAGGAGCACTGGCCACTCTTCCAGAGGACATGGGTTCAATTTCTACCACCCACATGCAAGCTCACAACTGTTTTTAACTCCAGTTTCAGGGAATCCAGCACCCTCACATAGACATACATACAGGCAAAACATGGATATCTAGATAGATATCTAGATAGATATTTATCTAGATAGATAGATAGATAGATAGATATTTATATAGATAGATAGATAGATAGATAGATAGATAGATAGATAGATAGATAGATAGATAGATAGATA